AGACTCCTGACTTTCGTCCGATTGACCATCGTTAGTATCGCTAGCATAAAATTCGCTCTCAGAACTATGGTCACTCAAAAATGGTTCTTCCTGTTTAGTGTTTGGCGTGTAGTCGCCATCTTGATCGGAAAAATTACTATCGACCTCTTCGTGCCATCTCCCAACAATTTCTTTTAAATTAGCATCGTCTGGATGCACACTTTTTTTTTTACTTTTGGAAACCGCCATTGAAATAAAAACTATCACAAACTACGTCGTAGAGTCCCTCAGACTCTAATGTGTTCTATTTGATAACTTCTACGCAATTGATCGCGATTTCGCATAAGCATAACGGAGATTTCTCTACTACCTGAAGGTTCTGTACGACACCACTCGTTTGGATCAATAGTGGGGAAAATAACATAACATAACATAACAATATCTTTATTTTTAGAAAATAATATACATTCAGTGAACATAAAATTATTTAAAAAAAACAGTGTCACAAACGAAAATATTATTTACTTATTCCTAACCGTTACATATGCAAATAGTCCTCCACAGAATATGGCTCAAGAGCTACCAGTAATTTAAATATTTGATGTTTATACACACTTAATCTTTCATCCCTTTTAATAGGTTCAGGCAGTTTATTAAACAATTTGATGCAGCAATAAAGAGCGTTTTTTTCTGTTATACTTAACCTGTGTATTGGAATTTTATAATTATATAACCTGATATTTACTATACTATTGGGCTCAAAGTTCCTAAATAGTATTTTATTTTTATATAGAAACAGTAAGCATTCTTGAATAAATACAGCATAAACTGTTAAAATATTATTACTCCTAAAATGCCCTCTACATGATTCCCTACTTTTTAAGTCAAACATAACTCTGATTATTTTTTTCTGAACCAGAAATACATTATTTATGTCCCTACTGTGTCCAAAATTTATTAGACCATATCTAAATTTTGCTTCAAAATTAGCATGATACACTGTTTTTAATGAGTTACTATTCATGTATTTTTTTAGAACTCTAAAGCTGTAAATCACTTTACTCAAAGACATACATAACTGGTCAACATGTTTATCCCAACATAAAAAACTATCAATATATAATCCTGAAAATTTGGTACTGCTGCTAATATTTAAAGTGTCATTATTTACAATAATACTGTTTGGCATATCTGAATGTGCATAATTTGTCTTAAACAAAAGATCTGTTTTATTTTGATTTAAATCCAACCTATTCATAGAAAACCAGTCTTTAGCTTTCTGGAACTCTAAAATAGCATTAACGCTTAGAACAGGCATGTCTTTACCACTGACTAAAATGTTAGTATCATCTGCATAATTTGTTATGCTGGAAGTAGTATTAGCCACTAGACCATGAAGATCATTGATATAGATCACAAACAGTAAAGGACCAATCACACTTCCTTGTGGTACTCCAATATTGATAGTGCTTTCAGATGAGATGCCGATTTCAGTGTTTTTATGTATTTTTACTAAATGTCTCCTATTTGCCAAGTAGGACTTAAACCAGTTCAATGCTGGTCCACGTATACCATATTTCTCCAATTTATCAAATAATATGTCATGCACTAAACAGTCATATGCCTTTGATAGGTCCAAAAAGAGACCCAAAGCCATATGACCAATCTCAGTACATTTCAAAATATCCCAGACAAATTGAAAAATCGCAGTCTGAGTTGATTTTCCCTGTTGATAACCATGCTGATTTGCACTAATAATATGACATTTTGTTAAAAATTCTGTTATCCGCCTATACATAGTCATTTCTAAGATTTTTGAAAAGGAACATAAAAGGCTAATTGGTCTATAGTTATTAATTAATTTAGGATCACCCTTTTTGTAAACAGGTGTTACTATGGCAGTTTTCAGGCATTCAGGAAATACACCAGATTTTAGTGAATTATTAGTGATTGCAGTGAGAGGATTCACTATCTCCTTTATACAAAGTTTAAGGATTTTAGTGGGTATTTCATCAATTCCACAACTCATTTTGTTTTTTAAATTTTGAGTTATATCCATAATTTCAGTTTCTGTCACAGGTGCGACAAACACTGAATTTATGTTACTTGCAATGTTGTCTTTATATTCAGTGTATTGTAATTGAGATAAAGTGTTATTTAAAGAAGTATTTAAGTGTATCATGTATTTATCAGCAATCTCTTGAGGACTACCCTCTACTTTTATTGAATTTACACTTTTTAATTGACCATTAATTTCACTAACAATTTGCCACATGCATTTATTTTTATTGGCAGCTTCAGATATCCTGTTTTCATATAGCTTTGATCGTTTTGTTATTAGTTTCTTATTATATTCTTTTTTTACCTGTCTATAGGAATCATAGAATGTATGGTTAACTCTGCTCATTGTAAACAAGATGTCTAAACGAGTCTTACATTCTATTATCTCTGGATCATCTCTTTTATTAAGGCCTTTTTTACGTTGCCTAGAATCTAACTTTTTAAAAGGAAAGCACTGATTGAATATATACAGAAACTGATTTAAGAAAGTATTCCATTGATCATTTACACATTTGTAACTTAAATTAAGCCAGTCATGATTATGTAATTTACTTATAAAGGTTTCAATATTATTTGTACTAAAATGTCTTTTCATTTCAAGAGTATTCATTTCTGCTTCCTCTACCTGAAAAGTTAATTTTTGGGCAGAATGATCAGAGATTCCAGCGTGCAAGACTTCTACTGACACATATGATTGCATATTTGTTAGTATGTTATCTATACAAGTTTTAGATGTGGCAGTTACTCTAGTGTAGTCTTCAATTACATGACAAATATTATATGAGTTAATTAACATACAAAATTTTACTTTATCTAATGTTTTATTCTTAAGATCGATATTGAAATCTCCCCCTATAATTATAATTGTGTTTTCTATCATAATTCTTTCCAGTATAATATCAAATTTGTTTAAAAAAACTGCCAGATCGCTACCTGATGGTCTGTAAACTGATGCTATAATGAGTTTGTTATTACCTATATTAGCTTCGCATACAGCACACTCTATTACCCTATCTACTGATAACTCTTGTATATCCTTTCTTTCCTGGCCAATGATGTCTTTACTAAGATATATAGCTGTTCCTCCATGTTCATTCACATTATTTCTACAATGACTAGCTGTCAGCACAAAATTGTTAATTCCATATTCACTTAATTCTTCTTTAGTTTTCCAATGTTCTGTTGTGCACAATATTTTACAGTCACTGTTGTTTGTTAGAAGTTCTTCTATTTCATCAATACAATTTCCTATGGATTGGAGGTTCTGGTGGATGATACTTATATTCTTTGCTCGTGTGACTGTGTTTTGTATTTCAATTTCCTTGTGTTGATGTGTCTTGTGCTCTCTATTTTCTCCTATGAAAAATTTCCACCTCGGTTATCTAGAAAATCCTTATGACGATGCATCTGGAACCTTTTTATGCCAACACCATTAGGCCAAAACTCTGGTTTATACATGTCATCCTTATATTCAAAGGGAGCCGATACAACAAATCTCTTCAACATATTTTCTTGACTTGGCAATTCCTTTACCATAATAGACTCTTGTTGCATTTTCCTCTTTTCTATTAGAAATTTACATATCTCCTCTTGTTTTGTTGTTCTCTTCACTCTATACAAGTATAGCCACACTTTTTTCTTTTCCCCTGCAAAACCACTTGTGCTATCGTCATCGCTTACTGCCGTTCCTATATTTTTTTTAGTTATGTACCGATGTCTCCTGTATATAACTTTTTGGAACCCATCTGAGTCACTATCGCTGTTTTCCTCAGTTATTTTATGTTTTTTTATTTGCTCATTAACCTCAGTTGTTTGTTTATTTTTGAGGTTGACATTAATGTTGTCACTTGTCTTCTGTTCAGAGGAACTACTTAAACTTTTTGACGTTTGAGCTACTACTTCTGTGAATGATCTATTTTGTGTACGAGGTGGTACTGACCTTGAGAATTTTTTATCAACAGAGTGATCCATTATCTGATCTTGTTTATTTACACTTTCGTATTCAGTTTTTTTTGCGGTTTTTTGTTCTAGATAACTTACTTTTTGGCGCAATAAATTATTGTTTTCTTTTAATACAACATTTTTGTCTTCCATTTCCATAATTAGTCTTTTTAAGAGGTCATTTTCTAATCTCAGTTTGGATAATTCTTCTGTAGTTGACATCTCGTTTGTTTCGGTATCACCGCCTTTTTTGTCACAGCATATTATGATATTTCTCTCACATGTTTCAAATCAATATTTTTTGCACAGCTAGAGTGAAAAACACTATAACAATATTTACACACAACTATTTTACACTCTTTTTTAGTGCAGCATTTAAAATTTATTTCCAAGTTTTCACCATCAATTGGCCGTACGTCTTCGACAGCGGCCATCTTGAATCTGAAGAAGCGTTGTTTCAACTGCGGAGTCCGATGGACTCCACGATGTCGGTTAATGGATAAATCTTTATTAATTAAATACATAACTACTATTTTAGTATTTATTTATTCGTCAAAATCAGCTTAAAGTCAAAAAAATTGTATGATCGAATAAGTATGTTCAAAAGAAATATCACTTGCCATAAGGTCCCATTTAAAATTATCGCTCATAGTGGCTCTGTCGTCGGTCATAGTCACCTAGTTGAGAAGCCTCTCGCTTCTCTCTAAATCTATTTCCAAAATAGCCTAATTTCACTATTATCAGTATAACCATTCAAAAGATACGAGGGGGGAGGGGACTTTTGGCTAACACTGTATAATCAATGTATATTTCATAACTGTCATTGACGCGACATGATTTAGCTACTGTCAAATATCGTTTATTATGTTTTTTTGCAATCAATAATGCCTCTAATTAGAAATTAAAAAAAAAACACGTTTTTACATCAAATTAAAATAATTTACTATTTTTACATTTGATTGTATTGTAATTTTTATCATTCATTTTTATATAAATTTCAAATTGTAAATATTATGTAGCAATAGCTCTGGACCCGTGTCCTGATGCTTCAGCTGATAAGGATAAGAATAACGAAAATGATAAGAATCAGGAAAAGAATAAGGATAATGATAAACAACGGAAGATTAAAGCCGTAGAAGGAAGTTCAGGTATTTATATAATGAGTTAATGTATTTTTAATCTATCAATGTCAGCTTTTGCTCACCATTAGCCTCATTAAAAATAGCATCATGCATCCTTTGCTATACATTAGTCTCTTCCGTAATTGGTTTTAGGTTTTATGGGAAGATCTGATTTTTAGTTTGAATTTCATTTTGTTCACTGTTATTCAGAAAAATATAACTCTACATTTATGTTAAAAGTGTTTAAATCTATTAAGTACATTCCGAACAAAATCCCTAGAATTTATGAACAGCTGTTAATACACCAACAGAGAAAGGGACACAAACGTCGTTAATTTTTTAAAAGTATCTGCTCGCTTCAAACCTGTTTCAGAAGGAGATTCCCGTAGTTAATTCAACATATGTCACATTCTTCTTTCTTGTCTCTACAACTCTAAGTGACTCTTGGCCGCGTTCACTATTTTCCTCGACTCTTGCCGGTCTTGTTCAGCAATATGATCGTTGTACCACCATCACACGTTACTACATCCTTCCATCTTTTTCTTGGGTGAACAACTTACCTTCTGCCAACGGGTCTTTCCCAAAAGGTTGTGTGGCAGATGTCAAATTATTTAGAGAAAACTTATGTGATAATTAAGAGTTATACAGAAATCAGAAATATTACTCTTCTAGATTTTTTCTAATACTAGTGGAGGACGGGGTAATGCCGTCATACGGGGCAATTCCGTCACCGAGTATTTTTCACAAAATATTTGTCCTGCACGCATCTGACTAACGCTGAGACGTAGCTTCCGATTGAGCGTGCTTTGATCAGTCAGTAGAGCTATTGCCGCTTTTAAGGTTAGTTCGTGCGAATATCAGTAAAACCGTTATAGTTTCATATTTCTACTTACTTCTGCCGTATTTATAACTCGAGGTAAGTATGATAATAAGGTTCTTAACTGGTTTGTTGAATATGTTCTTTAATAATATGATACTTGGTACCTTGGCACGATGAAATCGAAAAATCCATAAACGACATGAAAAGAAATAAAGCGGCCGGTGAGGACAAAATACTGGCGGAACTGCTAAAAGAAGGAGGAGACACGATAAAAAAAATGCTAAAAATACTGTTCAAAAAATGTCTGTTTGAAGGTAAAATACCCAAACAATGGAGAAATGCCAACACAATCTTAATACATAAGAAAGGAGACCGAATAGACCTAAACAACTACCGTCCTATTTCCCTTTTGTCACAACTATATAAAACCTTCACAAGAATAATAAACAACCGACTAACCTATAAACTTGATAACTACCAACCAGTGGAACAGGCCGGATTCAGAAAAGGATACAGCACAATCGACCATCTACATACGCTTAAAATCTTAATTGAGAAAACCAATGAATACAACCTTCCGCTGTAGTTAGCATTCGTAGATTATGAAAAGGCTTTCGACAGCATTGAACACTGGGCGGTGGAAGAAGCTCTGGTCAATAGTAGCATAGATTCAAGATACCGACAATTGATACATGATATTTACCAAAACGCAACCATGACCGTAATTCTGGACGGCAAATTAATAACGGATAATATAAAAGTTAAACGAGGAGTCCGACAAGGCGATATAATTTCACCTAAACTGTTTACCTTGACCCTCGAAGACATAATAAAATCAACAGATTGGGAAAACAGAGGAATATGTATTAACGGAAAATACCTAAATCACCTTAGATATGCGGATGACATACTCCTGATCTCCTCGGAACGACAAGAACTGGAATTAATGCTGAATGAACTTCATGAAAAATCACTGCAAAAAGGCCTAAAAATTAACTTCAACAAAACAAAAGTAATGACAAACACGGAAGACCAAGAGGCAATAAAAATAAAAACAGAAAAAATAGAACAGGTAAATGAGTATATCTATCTAGGACAAGCAATCAGAGCTAATAGAGAAAATCAAACAGCCGAAATATCGAGACGAGTAAGAATGGGATGGGCAGCGTTCGGCAAACTTTCTTACGTTCTAAAAAATCAAACAATACCTCTATACTTACGAAGCAGGGTATATAACTCCTGTATCATACCGGTGCTCACCTACGGAGCACAGACATGGACATTTACACAGGCCAATTTGGATAGGATAAGGAAGGCACAAAGAGCGATGGAGAGACAAATGTTGGGTGTATCACTTAGAGATAGAAAACGTAACCAGTGGATCAGAACCAGAACAAAGACAGTAGACGCGATAGAACAAGCAGCAAAACTGAAATGGAAATGGGCTGGACACAATGAACGTGTCCAAGACGGACGATGAAACAATGCCATCGGAAAGTGGCGTCCATACAATGCAAAGAGATCAAGAGGCAGACCACAGATGAGGTGGAAAGATGACATCAGGAAACAAGGAGGTCCCACATGGCAGAGAACAGCTCAAGATAGGGAAAGATGGAGAGAACTGGGGGAGACCTATATCCAACAATGGAAGGATAGAGAATAGGTTCAAAAAAAAATGCAAAATGGGAACAGACCATAGAAATTAAGGCGAGAATAGAACGAGCTAGAGCAGCATTTAGCAATATGAAAAAGCTCCTTATACGCAAGTATTTGTCTCTTCCCCTAAAACTACGTATAGTTAAATGCTACATTTTTCCGATCTTGCTGTATGGCGTGGAGGCCTGGACGCTGGCGAAGACGCTAACGAGAAAACTAGAAGCATTCGAAATGTGGGTGTACCGACGCATTCTTCGTATATCCTGGACCGAACATGTCACCAACATATAGGTACTCCAAAGAATCGGAAAGGAGAAAGAAATCGTGAATACAATTAAACAAAGAAAGCTTGAATATCTAGGCCACATATTGAAACACAACTGTCTGCTACAATTGATTGTCCAGGGAAAAATAGACAGTAAGCGAGGGCCAGGCAGGAGAAGACACTCGTGGCTCCAAAATCTGCGGAAATGGTTCGGGCTCACATCGGTCGAACTATTCAGAAGCGCCGCAAACAAGATCAAAATTGCCATGTTAATAGCCAACTTTCGCAACGGACAGGGCACTTGAAGAAGAAGAAGAATAATATGATACCTTAAATACTTTTCGGTGAGATTGCTTTTAAACGTTTGGTTATTGATTGTATTATGTAGTGATATATCCACCTTGTTGGTCTCGAGGGGCAATTCCGCCACTTTACTTCGGGGCAATGCCGCCATGACGGTATTGCCTTGTATTTTCTTATTGAAGTGTAAAGTTAACAACGCATTTTTTTATTTTCAAATGGTAAGATCACGTACAACAGAAAAAGCTATGTGGAAGGAGGAAAACCTCAAAAATGCTATTGAAGCAGTTCGCCAAAATGGTGTCTCGCAAAAAAAACAGCTACAATGTTTGGCATACCCCGAACAACATTAAGGGATAGGCTAAAGGCAAGCGATGGTAGTAATCCGAGACTGGCTTTGGAATTGGCTGAAAAACATCAAATCAAACACAACTTTAGCAAAGAGACCAAGTTGGCCGGGATAGATTGGTTAAATGCAGGCATAAAATTATTTTAAGAAAACCGGAAAACACTAGCTTGAACAGGGTCAAAGCATTTAATAAAAACGGAGTTGATTTGTTTTATTATAAAATTAGAAACTGTAATGGCATGTTCTATGTATGTAATGTATAACAATTCTATCATCATAAATAATGATAGAAAGTATAACTTAAATGATAGTGATAGAATATCACTGTAGTGTGTGCCATGAGCGCTTCAGGAATATATACACCCCCAATGTTTATCCAAGGAAACGGATGTCACCTTTGTTGCAGCGAGGAGGACCGCCTGGAGCTATTTATAGATGTTAATACAATGGGTGGTCCAACAAAGATTTACTTTTAGATTGGCTGAAACATTTCCAGAGAACCACTAAGTCAAGTGAAGAGGACCCTGTCCTTCTGTTAATGGATAATCATAGAACCCATATTTCTTTGCCATGTTATGACTTTTGTCGCTCAAACCACATTCACGTTGTGTCGCTTCCACCCCATTCTTCGCACAGACTTTAGCCCTTAGATTTATCTTTTTACGGATCTCTTAAGAATGCGTTCAATAAGGAGTGTGATAATTTTATGAAAACAAATTTTCATCTAAAAATCACTCCATACGATATTGCTTCGATATTCAGCAAAGCTTACTTGAGGATTGCTAACCTTAAAAAGGCAGTGGCAGGATTCCAAGCATGTGGAATTTTTCCGTTTCAACCAGATAAATTCAGTGAGGAAGATTTTGCTCCTACTCATTCAGTCATAGAGCAAATAATTGTTGTGGACAAGGAGGAAAATGCTGAAAAACTCAATGATACCTCTACTAATGTATTCAAATGGGACTTGACATCAACACAGATAAGACCAAATTTATGATAGTATCAAGGAGTCCAATAAATAATGAACAACTAACTCTTGGTGGACAGCAAATAGAGAGAGTGACAAAATATAAATATCTGGGAGCTTACATCAATACAGAATTAGATCCAGACCAAGAGATCCGGGTACGAATAGAAATGGGAAGGGCAGCGTTCTTAAAATTCAAACAATTGTTCTGTGACAAAAATCTGAATATTGCGCTGAGACTGAGGTTTGTTGAATGTTACGTCTGGTCGCAATTATTGTACGGGGTAGAAACATGGACACTAAAAGCGCAAATAGTTAAAAAAGATCGAAGCCTTTGAACTTTGGATATACCGGAGAATGTTGAGAATCCCATGGACTGCCAGGGTCACCAATGAGGAAGTGCTGAGAAGAATGGGTCGAGTCAAAAAATTGTTGAGAACGATAAAAATACGCAAGACTGCATACCTAGGACACATACTAAGAAATAATAAATATAGTCTTCTGCAGGTCATCATGCAGGGTAGAGTCGATGGCAAAAAGGGAATAGGTAGAAAGAGGAAGTCATGGCTGCGAAATATTCGAGACTGGACAAACATGACTGTAGACGAATTATTCCACGTTGCAAAAGACAGAGAAGCTTTTAAAAATGTGGTCGCCAACCTCCGTTAAT